CACATTTCCGGTCAGGTTCCTTTCGCCGGGAGACGTCTTATGATGGTAAGTTTTTAATAACAAGTTTTTTTTCAATTAACCTGTAATTTGCCTCCTTAATAAATTTCGAATTGGTTTTTTAGGCTGAAGAGACGGGGGAGAACTTTCCCCAATGACGAAGGTGTTCGCCGAAACGCACAAGAAGAAGAACGGCGAATTCACAGATCCTTGGGCGGAGGATATCTACAACGCCACCTGTGCGAGGATATATGAACGGCAGACGCAGCTCTCCCAGCAGGTGCCTCCGATGTCTCCTGGAGGTAGTTCGGTCTAGTCCAGTCCGGTATTGACGGTGCGGAGATGGACAAGATTTTTGAGGAGGTAATTAATCTTGATCAACTTTACTTTCAAATTTTAAATTTTTAATATACTAATTATATTTTCAACAATTATTTGCAGGTTGCCCCTCGGAAGAAGGGAGTTTCAGGGATGGGATCCATCCATGATACTCCGGTCGCTACTGCGACCGAACATGTTCATGCGGAGGATCCCACGGAACTTCGGGAGGAGATGCACCATATGCGCAACCAGTACGAGACGAAGATCGAACAGATGATGATCTGTTTGATATTTTGGGCGCCGACAACCCGTTGCTCGCAGCACAGCTACAGAAAATGCGGGCTACCAGAGCGTTTGGCGTCTCTTCGTTTTCTTCCTTGAGGAGGCCGCCACCACTGGTGCAAACGGACGAGAAGATGTTCCAGTCTCTCGGGGTGGATCCTCCTAGACGCGGTGACTACATTGTGGAAACCTCTAACCGAGATGCAGATCACGGGGAGGATGTCGGGAACGACGGGGAATACGGGCTAGATGACGGGATTAGTTTAGACGAGGAAGGGGGATTAGATTATGTTTTTTTTTTGTATTAAAATTTAAATTAATTATAAATTTTTTTAATTTATATTTTAATTTAATTTTTTTTTTATTATTTTTCTCCACTCGCCGTATAATCGTCGTAATTGTTTTAAATTATTTTATATTATTGCATCGTAAATTCGTCGTATCTCTACAACGAAGTTACGACTATAGCATTACAACTATATTACATCGAGTTTACGACCACTTTAGTGGTTTACCAAATCAATGTAAATCGTCAATTCATTTGTAATTTTACGACGAATTTATGACAAATTTTTAATGACGATTTTACGACGATAGCATATCGACTATATTACGTCGAGTTTACGACCACTTTAGTGGTATACCAAATCGATGTAAATCGTCGTAAATTCGTTGGTAACTTTACGACGGACATCTTACAACGATTTTACAACGATTTTAATCGTCTCTAAAATTATGACGATTTTATGAAAAGCCTTTTACGATCATGTTTTTACGACCGTTTTGAAACCGTCGCAAAAACGTCGTAAAAGGGGTTTTACAACGGTTTCAGCCAGTTGTAAAATGGCGATTTTCTTATAGTGTCTCCAGGTTGATCGTCGTCGGTCATCCGTTGCGTTCGTCTAAGTCTTCGAAGTTCTCTTTCGTGTCTGACAATCTTGTCTAGAATCGGAATATTTGCTGCAGGTTTGCGCCTGGTATTCATGTACTTCCCTAAAGACAGAGAAAAACAAAAGAACAGAAAGAGATTTCAGAAACATAAGACGGAACTAGAGATCAAGTATCTAGAACAGAAATTAGAACAAGAAAAATAAAAAAAGCAGTGAAACAAAACCCCGGCAACGAAACAAAACCCGGGCAACTGCGCCAAAAACTTGATATGTGCAGTGTGAGGGAATAATATTTACCCTAAGAGAAACAATTGGAAGCCGCAAGTGCACAGCTAATCAATTGTAGTATTTAGGAATCAAATCCACAGGGATTTGTGTGCCGAATACTTTTCTATGGTTTGTAAGTTTATGTCTAGACTAAATCGGATTTAAGAGGTTGGTGTGTGTCACAGTTTAAACTAAAATGAAATAAAGCAAATAAATCTATCCTAAAAAACAAGTAGAATATAGAATGAAAGCAAGCAAAAACGAAGATCTAAGTAAGCAAGTAAATAATCGATGGGGTTGTGAACAATAACTAAAAACTCTGGGCTTTCAGGAACTCCATAAGGATCATAATCGGTTTTAACAACTAGGGCTATAGATTGGGATTATTGGATATCGAAATATCTAGGGTTCTAGAGCTAGAGTACGGCAGTATGACTAAGTCATTGTCATGATCATAACCAACTGTCTCTCGTAACCTTTTCTAGTAAGTTTCCACTCTGGGCCTGGAAGGGAGAAAACGCAGGAACTTGTATAGGAATCGTCAATACTCACGACTCACCCATAGGTAGGTTTCCACTCCTATGGAAGAATCGCCCGTTTCATTCTACGTTGGATACTTAATGAAAACTTTCACAACAATAACTATCTTGATCAGACACGAGATGATCAATCAAGCATACATGCATTAAGAACAAGAATAAACGAAGAACATAAAATAAAATCCCAAATCTAAAATTCTAGATGTTTTATTCGATTATGAGAGCCTATTTCAGGAACCCTATGCCCAACTCGGGATCTACTCAGACATACCTGAGGTTGACATCATCATTGGTTTTAATGAAAGCAATTAAAATCAGTAAAGAAAAGAGAAGAAAGAAAGCTTCTCTATTGATGAACTCAAAGTTGAGAAATCTTCTCTACAAATCGCTAAAACTGCTAGGAAAAGTTGTCTCTGTAAAAAGTATGGAAGAGATATCTAAAAAAGACCTAAATGACAAATATTTATACTTTTGAATACTCCAAGGCGTCTAGGGATTCAGAATTAAGGTTGGGAAATGACTTGGGCTTTAGAAATAGGCTTCTTAAGTCGGAGATAGCTCGCTGCAGTCGCATGATGTGTGACCGTGGCGAATGAGTGGTTGGCTGCGATCGCATCCTGGCTGTGGAAAATGGCTTGTTGGCCGCTGTCACGTGGCTTGTTGGCCGTCTTCAAATGTCTGGGGCAAATGGAATATCTTGAGATCTAACCATTGGAATGTCTTCAATCCAAGTGTATTTGAATGCTGGTTGAGTCTTCTATTAAATGTCCAAATTTGGGGGTGATCAGACGGTGAGAAGGTTTTCGTCTCTCCTTGAGAGTTCTTATGGTCTGAATTTATCTAAAAGAGTCTTTTTGTTCAAATTTTGGACCTCTTTCTCTCAAATTACCTGAAAAATCTTTTAAATCCGAAAACATATAAATTATTTGAAGACCTTTAAAAATATAGTAAAAACATCTGCAAAAGATTTTAAAGTGATCTATAAAAATAGTAAAAATCTGGTATTATCACCTAGAAACCTATGGTGGGAGATGGATTGTTTGATTTTGTGTGGATATATAGAGAGAGTTAAAGATTGCTCAAACAGTTCCACGATGACTATTTGGTTGAGATATTTTCTTGTTCAAAAGGTTTAGTTAAAGCAAACAGAGGTTAATATTATTTTTCAGGTTTTTATTTTTGTGCATTATGTTTTGCTTTGGTGAATCAAATTTGTTTTACCACAGTTCCAGTTCCAGAGAAGAAACGCTTTATCCACTAAAGTAAAAATTTTCAAAAAGCTTTTTTTTCGTTTGTTTGACATCGAATGAATAGAATTGAAACAATAGACGAATACATTCATCGTAGTTGCATAAACCAAAAAGACACACGTATTGATATTACGAAGAAGAACACTCGTTAAATTCTTGTGATGCATTCATCAAACAGTAGCAGCAAGAGCCTTGACAAAATCATGTCCTTTAGGAACTGTAAGACCATGCCCAAACCACTCAACTTTTCTCCAAATTATATGATTCTTGCGCCTTTCAAGCGCAATCTCGGCACACCAAATCATATTCTCGCCACTAGAGAGAAATCCTTATCCAACAAAACCGCCAACTTATCACCATAATCAGCCAGTCTAACAAAACCAAAAGGGAGATTAGGTATTCCTAACAAACCTTTTTATTCTCTTCACAAGCTTACCTCAGTGTGACAGTGTCATACCATATGAGCACTCTGTCCGAAGCAGAGTAATTGTCTTTTTTTTTTGTGTGTTTAGAACCTGCCATATCTGCATGTGGATGTATCAGATCTTCGATGTACATTCTATCTATTATCTCTAGTTATTCTGTCGCTGGACGAAGGTTTGAAACATGCTTATAACTTGCTTGCTTTGTTATGAACACAATCATCTCTTCGAATCTCCATTTTCATGGTCTTGCTTTGCTTTGAAATTTATGGCTTAATCGCATTCGTAATCACTATAAGCCAAATATTATCAATACTATTGTTGTCAAATGTACATGTATATGATGTATTCAGAAAACATTAACCACTTGGTTTCATGTAGGCTTCATAAAAAGACAAACCAAACCGGATAATCATAAATATCTTAGCAGTTATTTTTAAAAATATTTTAAATACTCGAATTAGAACCAAACTAAATAGTGTAACTTTCAAAATATATAAAATATAATTATATATCTCAAAACATTACTTTTGGTTATATGTACATAAAATAACTGAAATATTTAAAACTATACAATAGTAAATCCGAATATATTAGTTTTTAGTTATATATGTACATAAAATAATTGAAATATCCGAATGCAGTTAGTTATCTTTGCTAAGATAAACAAAAACAACTGTTTGCAAAATTGAACCGACTTTTATTTTTTGTTTTGATATTTTGGATAGTTCAGATAAAAATATCGCAGATTCGGTTAGTTCTCAATTTTATTACTAAGCCGAAATATATCCAAACCAATACATATTCAAACCGATCCAAACCAATTTTTTTCGGTTTCTATATGAGTCTTTTTAATCTTTTTACTTAAATGGCCAAACCGATCCAAAAACCCGAATGTCTTTTAGTCATTGATTAGAGATTTAGTTAGATTCGTGTACACAATGATCGGACGGAGGAGAAAGAGATGCAGAATAACTTGATTCAGCGAGTCAAAATTTAAAAATATAAATAAAAACAAAACTCGAGAATCATATATGTGGCTCTCCTTTCTCCATCCAAACCAAATCAACACCCAAACCTCGTCCACACCAACAATGTTCAACACAAAATCAAAACCACAAACACTCAATTTCTCCTTCTCCCTACCATTAACATCAAATCAGTGAGAAAGAGAGAAGCCAAAGCTGATTTCTATGGCTACTGCTTCGCTTTCTGCAAATCAAGGATTACTCGGAACTTCCTTCTGTGGAGGTTGGGGAAACTCAATCTCCGGCGACGATTACCACAACATGCTCGCCAAAACCTCTGCGCCACCGCAACAAGCTCGAGTCTCAAGAAAACCCATCAGAGTACAGCCGATGATGAAGAATGTCAATGAAGGCAAAGGTTTATTTGCTCCTCTCGTTGTTGTCACTCGCAACGTAGTAGGCAAGAAGAGGTTTAATCAGCTTAGAGGCAAAGCTATTGCTTTACACTCTCAGGTTCGTGGTTATATCAAATCATCATTTATCTAAATTAGATCAAAGAAAGCAGAATCAATTGAGTTTTGTGGGAAATGGGTTTTTTATTTTTGTGTTTTTGGATTTTCTTCAGGTGATTACTGAGTTCTGTAAATCGATAGGAGCTGATGCGAAACAGAGACAAGGATTGATTAGGCTTGCTAAGAAGAATGGAGAGAGGCTTGGCTTCCTCGCTTGATTTTCATCATCTGCTCTTGTCTGTATACAATCCTCTTTCTTGTTGTTCTTGTCTAGATGTATTTTGTCCAAAACGTATAATCTTTGAAACAGAAACTGCCACTCTCGTTCTGAAAAATTGTGTGCATCACTACTCTTAAAGCTAGATGAAATTCTGATATATATAACAAATAATAACACTATTGTAGAGTTTCAGTCTAAGCTGAATTAGTATACTTCTTCGCAACACAGATACAAAATCATGTAATATTATCATTCTTTAAACAGTTTAAAGCCTGAAAACTGTCTTAGCCTAATTATAAACTTCGAAACAATCAACTGATTCAAAAATACAGTAAGCTTTCTTTAAAGGTTATCTCGATTCTCAACCAGGAAAGGATCTTCAAGATCAGGAGGAGAAGTATTGAGACGCATGTGCGAATCCCCAGAGCTGCAAATGAAAATTTAACAGCATTAACTTGCATTTATTATTTCAGGATCCAAGTAAGATTGCATAATATGTTGAATAAGGATGTCAATGTGGAGACTTGATATCAGCACACAGTCCATGTCTATATATAGCTTTACCTCGACATTCTTTAACTCAAACTCAGTGCTGCTAGCTAAGCATTCGTTCCCAAAGGTTTCTGAAGGTCCACTTGTTGCCTTCAACCTTGTTCAAGTAGAAATGTTTCGGTTTCAGTATCATCAAAACGATTAAAAAGGGGGAATTTTCAATATGAGATGGAGCCAAGATTGTCCCTTACAAATCTTCGTCTAAACATAGAGCAAAGTTTCCTCCACCTCCAAATGCCAAAAACTCGTTCATACACATCCAGTAATATCGGTTAGCACCTGCACACATATTCATAAGAGAGGTTTCTCACTACACATACTCGAGGGGCTTGATTTATGTTTCTAGGGTCTTGGTTCACGAACTTATCCTTAACAAGTGACTTTCCCCTTCATCATCTACTATGGTAACTCTTTTTTCCTTTGAGCACTACATGGTTTCTAGCAACAATTCAACTACCAATAACAAGTGTGGATCAAGTTGATGAAACCGGGAAAATTCTGATGAGAATCAAATGGAAGCAATATTCTTAAGAACTTTTTGTGGAGAGACTTAAGCATTCACCCCAGATTTCACTTTTCAGTTCCCTCTATATTCATATATCCATCCTCTACTATACTATTGCTTAAGAAGTAAAAAGAAAAACAACTAGAAAAAAAGGAGTCCAAATGATTACCGGTAGGTCTAAATATGCGTGGTTGACCATAAATAGTTGTGAACAAGAATGTCTCGCTTGTACCCTATCATCAAACAACATGTGAGAGAATCAGCATTACAAAAACTTATCAGGTCCTGATTGTTTCTTAGCGTTTGCGTTTCCATGTTATAATAGTTGTTATCAGGAACTACAACATGGAAGGAAACGAAAACACAACTATCAATATAAAGTGTTAGCCCACCTGATATTTTCTCTTAGGAGTAGGTCTTAATGGACATTCCAGCAAAGCGCCAAAAACCGCACCTTGTTTGTCTCCAGCAACCTGCACCAATACCCAATCATCACAAACTAAGATCTTTCCCCACTAACTTATTCCAAAATGTACATACAGGCCAGCAAACAAACCAGTAAACAAGGACCAGGAAGCTCTGCGCTTTTACGCAGTAGCGTACGAAGTGATATGCCATGTTTCAACGTACTGCCCTTCATCCGAAAAAAAGTTAATATCAAAACCAAGAAGTCTGAAAAAATCTCCAATAAGAGATGAAACAACAAAAAACATTCTTCTTTACCTATACAACAAGATCCATTTGCATCCTCTCACGATGTTTGGAAGACACGCTTGCAAGAACTCACACAAGTTAGCAGAAATAAAAGCAGAGCTTTCGGTTAATTCCTTCATCTGCTTCATCCCGTCAAAGTAATCCTTGTCTTGGCCATTCGAGATCATTGTAATTGCCTCAGCTTGGTTTTGCCCATTTCCATGTTTGTAATTCTCAACAGACTCGTAGCTATCTGTTCTAACGGGAAGAGGAGGAGGTGGGCATGGTTGGGAATCACCATTCTCGTTTCCAGATTGAACAACACCAAAAGAGAAATACGAAGTAAACGATTTCCCTGAGCTCGAATTCAGCCTGGCCTACACATTCAAAAGCTTTAATGTCACAAATCAAAGTCACCTCATCGATCGAACGCATAGCAAATCCAAGCACGAATCTTTTGGTTTTATCCGAAAAATGATCCGTTGGAGAACAAACGAGATTCGAATCCAACGACACATCTCAGGAAATTGGGTAGTAACAATACAGGACATATGATTCAAAGGAGATATATAATCTAAACAAGCTTCTGGATTATTGATTCGAAACGGAAAGGAAAAGAAAGATGGAGAAAGGAGATACCTTTGGAGAATCGGAGAGGGAATAGCGAGGAGAAGCAGATTGGGTAGGGGAATCGGCGAAGAGATTAGAAAGCTTCTGTGAGACCTTGTCCTTGAGAGCATGCATTGCGATCAGACGACTAATTTCGATCGGAGAAGAAGAAGAGAATTGTCGGTGGGAAAAAGGAAGAAAAGATGGTGAGACAGAGAGAGAGAGCCTGACGCCTGAGTACCGGAGATGGAGAAAATCTGCGAATAAGTTTGACAGCTCTAAAAAAACAAAGCGACTCGACTGTCGAGTCAAATTAATTAATAAAAAAGACAATAATTAATGGGAAATTGGGGTAATGTTATGCATAAGTTAAACGAAAATTTCACTATTTAATATTTGATATAATAATAGTTATAATTTATTATAAAGAGAAATAGTAATAAAGAAAAAAAAATATTGCAAAAGAATAAGAATATTGATAAAGAAAGATGAGAGAAATTAGAGTAAGAGAGAGTTATTATTTTGTGAGTGATATTGTGTGTTTACAATTAAACAAAACTAGATTTTAACCCCGGGAATTTTGTATTTTTTTATTTCTAATATAAATTGCATTTATTTATTTTTAAATATATTTTTTTGTTATTTATTTTTTGAAATCAAAAAATTATTATCATGTTTTAATTTTAAACAATAAAAATTTGTATAAGTAGAATAAGAATATGCGTTAATTAAGTATACATTGATCTAATATTAATTATAAACTTTGTTATTATGTGAATTTAGATTTACACATAAACAATCTATATATCAATAAATTTGCTAATCCGTCCGTTTAGTTTTCGTAAATCATTTTAAATATCTTACATATTTTGATAAACTAATCTGTATAAGACTATAATTATATTTATATAACCTATTGCATATTTGGACCAATTGATTATGAAAAAAAAATAATAAGATATTTATTTATTATTTGTGCTATTACAATATATATATATATATATATATATATATAAAAACTGGCTAACCTGGTAGTTTAATTATCTTAAATCATCTTAATATCTTACATATTTTAATAAATTAACTCATAGACCTTAAGTATATATATATATATATAACTCTAATCAGCTCGATCATATTATTGTATAATATAAATATTTATTAATCTAAAACATTTGATATTTTCGACCGATTGATTATGATAATATACGATAAAATATTTATTTACTATGCATTTTTATGAAAATATTTTTTAAATTTAAAAATTTTAATTAAATTTAATCTGTATTTAAGGAATTCTAAAGTATTAAAATTATTATCTAAATTTCGTAATTAAATTTAATTATTTATTTTTTGAATTTTTTGAATTTAAATTAAATTGAATGCAGAATTTTGTAATTAAATTTAATTATCATAAATCTCTAATAATTTGAAATTTAAATTAAAGATGACCTAGATTTTAGGAAATCTAAAAATATCTAAATTAATAACTAATTTTCAAAAATTAAATATAAATATAAAATAAAATATTATAAAAAATTTTGGGAGTGTTTGGAAGCAAGCACTAAAAATGCTTCTGTTTTAATATAATAGATTGTTCGTATATACAGAAATAGTGAAGATAAACTCTATAAGTTTTACCCATGTTGTATTTCATCACCATAATTTATGACTTTGAAGCATGTCATAATTTCTAACTTTATAACAATTTTTTTTAAGACCGGTTTTACTATTTCTTTATTTTGCGCGTTTTGTTTTTGTTGCTTTGTTAAAAATCTGTCTAGGATAACCCAATAGAAAAAAATTATGAAAAATTAAAAACGTACGTATAACTACGTAAGCTCCCCCTCGAATGACTAAAATGTCATCCTATAAGTCTCATTGATGACGCATTCTAATATTATGAACATGTTTTCATAACATAGTGGTAGACAATGATTTTGTGAAGAGATCCACTGCATTTTCACATGATCAAACATATCTTATTTCGATTATTTATTCTTCTCGAATTCTTGAGTATATGAGAAAAACTTCGGAGGGATATGTTTGATTTTCACTTTTGATATATCCTTCTTTCGTTTGGGCAATACTTGCAACAGTATCTTCATTTAAGATAGTTGACTCCATATTTACATGAATTTTACATGAATTTTACATGAATTTTACCGCTTGATTGGATATGCTGACTTATTGATCTCAGTCATACACATTCTCTACTTGCTTCGTAGAGTGCGATGATTTCAGCATGATTCGAAAAAGTGACCACAAGTGTCTACTTCTGAGAACACCAAGATATAGCAATGCTGAAAAATTGTTTTTTTGCTCCTTAAACTATGCAAAAATGTTAAATTTATACCCAATCTTGTATCATGTGCTAAAACGTTCTCAAGTTTTAAATAATTTGAATTTTATACCTAGACTTTTCTTTTTGTGCGTAAATCATCATTAGATTAAACGCTGTTAAAATTCTGTTAAATCTAGTATATGTGGCATCCACGTAAGCAGCAACATAAGATTTTCAAAATCTGAGAAAGAAAAAAAACAAATAACATCATTTAACCGTCAGAGATTTGGCCATAATCCTTCATCGGCGTTTTTTTGCCAGGCAAAATCCCAGCAGTGATAGAAACCTCAGGAATCAATAATCTGGTTTGTCTGATACTTTCGCTAGTGATGATTAAGAGCTTCCTGTAGAAGTTTTCAGTGGCGACTCTATCGCGGAGATTAGCACCGACGGATCTCTTCAGACTCATCGACAGAGAAATGCTGATGAAGGTCGATCTTCCTGGTGAGCCTGATTGAGCTTGACGACGACCAGGAGAAGTATAACTCTTCTTCTTACTCCTCCCCTATTGAACCAACCTCCCGATTTAGACTGGTAAAGAAACTCAAACCATTATAACTAGCCGATTGATTCTCAAATTTTCTTGGATTCACCATCGTTCCTAAGTAAAGAAACTCTAAGCTAGTGTTCGTCGTCGTCCTCTGCTTACTATTCCTACACTCTTAGCGGCGCCACCAATAGAGGAAGCGGATAAACTGGGTGGCTACTCTCAGAACCGTGCCCAGAGTTGTGAAGATCCTAAACGGTATACAGAGAAATTATTTTTACTAAAATAATAACCATCATTATTCAAATTTAATATAAAATTACACTAAAAAATTAATGTAAGTTTTGGGCTAAAAAATAAATTAGTGCAAATTTAATGTTTTGTTTTAAAAAAAGTTTAACGTATTAATGGTAAAATGAATGTAAGTATGATATGTGCGAAGAAGATCAAAGGATTATTAACCTTATTTTTATAATATCTTTATTTTTAATAATGATTTTTATTTTTTAAAGACTCTAAAAACATTATGTTTATATATTTGACCCTAATATTATTATAATCATAAAAATTTAAGCATAATTCTATTAAAAAAGGCCTGTAGGCCAAAGTTTCTAATTTTCATACATAGGCACGGTCCTGGCTACTGTCGGTTGTCCACGTCTTGCTATCATCAGGTAAGTTACTATCCTGTCATCTTCTTCTCCTTCTTCTACGCCAATAAAGCAATTCGATAAGCGTGGCGACTAAAACGGTGGACGTCACGGCAGAGATTGCGATGGTGAGGAGCTTTTTAGAATTAGGAGGGGATTTAGTGGCATGATGGACAATTAGAGAAGAGATGTTGGCCGGGAAGGAAGCGAAAGACACCAGAGAAAGAGTCGAATGTAGAGATGTTGAAGACGAAGAATACAATAAGAAAAAAATAACTAACCCAACGTCGTTTACAATTAAACCCGATGACATTTTGTTTTAGAACAAGGTCTCTGACATGGCCTCCACATCGACAAGGGTTGACGGGTTTTTAGCGACGTTTGGTGTTAAGTATGTTTATGCACAAAAAACATTGTTTAAGTATGATACTCAAATTAAATAGAAGTGTAAGTATGTTTTAGTCGGATACATAAAGTTAAGTCTGAGATTAACATAATCTAATAGTTGGGGTCTAAAAAAGCCAATTTTCCTAGCAGTGCCTCTGATTGGGCTTTATGTGGATCCGACATCTGGAAAACCAACCATTTGACCTTTTGAATTTTTTAAGATAGAGCAAACCTAAGTCAATACTGTTTTGGAGATAACGAAAGACATGTTTGATCCCATTCCAATGTTTTTGTATAGGAGACAAGCTGAATCTTGTCAAAAGATTAACAGAAAATGATATGCCAGATCATGTACTATTGGCAAGGTACATAAGGGTTCCAATTGCAATTAGATATGATACTTCAGAACCAAGTATCTCTTCATTTTCCTCATGTGGTCGGAATATATCATTTCCAACCTTAAGTGATCTAACGACCATAGGAGTACTTAAAGGAGTTGTTTTATCTATGTTAAAGTGTTTTAGTACTCTTTTTGTATAAGTGGACTGGTGCATAAATATACATTTTTAAGAATGCTCAATTTATAAGTCAAGCCAATATTTTGTTTGTCTGAGATCTTTGATTTTAAATTCCCCTTTCAAATAATTTGATGCTTTCTGTATTTTCCCCTTGAGTTTCAATAATGTTTAGATCATCAACATATATCATGATAATTACAAATCTGGATGTTGTTTTCTTGATGAAAACACATGGGGATATAGGATTATTCACATATCCTTCTTTCGCTAAATTTTCACTAAGACGATTGTACTACATACGTCCAAATTGCTTTAGTCCAGATTCACAGTTCACTTCCAGAAAATTATGCGAGTTCACACAAAACAACTTTCTTTGATCCCCTATTTATTTATACCACATGAGCACATTGCTCCACTGATGTGGTGTATGAGGGGGCGTCAAGTTTTACCCTGATAAGAAACAAATGAAAGTCGCAAGTGCACAACTAATTAATTGTAGTACTTAGGGATCGAATTCACAGAGATTTGTGTGCCGAATATTTTTCTATGGTTTCTAAGCTTATGTTTAGACTAAATCGGTTTTTAAGGGTTTGGTATGTGTTACGGATTAAATTAAAACTAAAAAAAGCAAATAAATCTATCCTAAGAAAGCAAGTGAACAATTGAATGGAAGTAAATTAAGCAAACAGGAATTCAAATGAAAGCGAGTAAAAATGCAGATCTAAGAAAGCAGGTAAATATCGATTAGGTTGTAAACAGTAATTAAAAATGCTGGGCATTCGGAAACTCTATGCGGATCATAATCGGTTTTAACAATTAAGGCTATAGATTAGGATTGGTGGATATCAAAATATCTAGGATTCTAGAATT